TTGGAGGGGGGCTGGGGGGACACTGGGTTGCTTTTTGTTTGTGGGTTTTCTGCTTTGTTTTGGGCATTAATTTTTATATATATATATTGTTGTTGGCATTTTTACCTTGAATTTATCTTCAACATGGTCTTCTGTAGTGTTCTTAGGTGAGATATAGACTGGACAGATGATAAGGTGGTTCAAAGAATTATCTGGAGTGCCAGGCTCACAGGGTGGTGATGTGTGGTGTGGAGTCTAGTTGTTGGTAACTAATGGTGTTTCCCAGGGATTGATACTAGGGCCTGTGTTTCATGTCTTTTAACAATGTGGACAGTGAGATCCAGTGCATGTTGAGAAATTTGGGAGATTATACCAAATTGGGGGAATAACTCACTGGCTTGGAGGGCTAATATTTCAGTGGACCTCAACTGTCTGGAGGAATGGAATTAACAGTAGTTTCATGAAGTTCAACCAAGAAAAGTGTCCTGAATCCAGGAAAAAAATAACACCATGCTACATTATGGATGTAGAGAGCTGACTGGCTGGGAAGTAGCTGTGTGGATTTGGAGTTCCACTGGGCAAGCTGATGAACATGAGTCAGCTTTGAAACCCTTTGCAATTATGTCCTAGATGCTATTAGCAAGAGTGCAGCCACAAGCCCAGGGGAGTGCCTTGTACTTGGCAGTTGTGAGACCTCATGAAGAGTGCTCTCTATCCAATATTGGGTGCCCCAGGACACAGCTGACTGATGTAGTGGAGCAATTCTGCAGAGGACTGCTGAAATTATTAGGAGGATGGAGCACATGACATACAAGAATAGAGCTTTTGAAGAGAAAGGCAGAAGGAAATTTTATTGCTGTCTGTGATTGACTAATGGGAGGGTATAGAGAAGGCAGAGGTGGGATGAGAGGTAACAGGACAAGCTGGAACACAGGGACTTGCAGTTAGGTGCAAGGAAAGATATTTTACCCTGAGAGTGGTCAAATACTGGAACAGCTTCCAAACTTCCATTAGCACCAGTGAGTTTCCTAGTTTCACAAAGTCCCTGCAATGGGATCTTTCAGTGGTGATCCATGTGGTTGAGCTGGCTGAGGGGAGGCCTGGACTCTTACATGATGAATCAATGCTTGCAGAGTACTTCAGAAGAACAGGAGGAATTGGATCCCTCCAAATCTCAGTTTCTGTTTAAACTTGCATTATATTCAGGTTGATACAGTGACGTGGTATGTACACAGATGTCTTCATACTTTCTCAGTTAAGGCACTGATTCAGCAAAGTAATCTAGCACATGCCTTGTATCAAGTATGTACATAGTGACTGTAAAATCTATGCTGAATAAATAAAAGGAAACTCAAATAATTGAAGAGAAAATTAATTTACGTAGGGTAAGTTCATTCTAAACAATGAGTATATTTAAAGTGAATTGGATTTTTCCAAGCATTTCTGTCTTTGGCTATGACTTTTTTTTTTTTTTTTTAATTCTAAGGGTGTGATCAGGAGTGGCAGCCTCAGATTGATTGTCCTCAGGTCTATAGGCAGTTTTTTACAAACATTGAAGTCAGATCTCCTGTTGGCAGATGGTCTTTCAGGTTTCTGTGGTGCAGTGGGAGAGGTGTTTCTATGGTCTGTACAGCTCTACAGGCTGCTGTAGGAATTCACTATTGGAGAGGGAACAGCAAGGAGATCAGGCAGTAACTGATAAGCCTATGTGGGCTACTGAGAAGGTCAGCATCAGGGATCTCCCAACAGGACAGCCTTGTGAAGTATCGTGCTGCTGGAGAAGCCCCTCTTGATTGTAGTAGAAAATCTCCCAGGAAAGATTTTCCTGGGAAAACAAGAAGTAGGGAAGGAGAAGAAAGAAAATAAGATGATTTTGTGCTTAAATTTCCTATGTACAGAGTACAGCAGGTTAACAAATAGGAGAATTTCAGAGGGTTTAATGTCTGATATTTTAACATCTTCAGACATTTTTGTAGATTGAAGTAATTTTTCAGATGGAGTAGATTTCCCTTCAATTTAAAAGATGTGTGCTACTGCTTAAAACAGTGTTTACAGTAGTGGTATGAATATAAAGCAAAATAAAAAATACTAGAAGTTTTTTATTAAAGAAATTAATCATTTCGAGCAGTCTCTAAAACAGAAATGCACATATCTTGTAAAAGTGACAACTGTAGGTTTTCTTCTTTATGACAAGGATTGTTTAGATTACTGCACAATAATGAAGCTAAACCCCCTGTCAGATAATCTGCAATGAGCATTCTTTATATTGAGACATCAGAGAAGGAATAGTCTCACAACCTCCATTTATTTGGAACCTTTTCTTCTTCCAACACTTTTCATTCTCTGTCATCTCCAGTTACATCAGAACAGAGATCAGAAGCCAGCTGTTGAGGTTACTCTTTTGTGCTGGGTAGGGATGGCACAGTGAGAAATAAACTATGAGCTGTGACCAAAGGCTGATTTGTAATTACTTGAATATCATGATAATTGGCCCTAATACTGTAACAAATGCTCTGAGTTTGCACATCCAAACTCTGCAGTTAGGATCAGTTGTCTTGTTTACAAAATGCTTTTAGTAGCATTAAGTTGCCCAGTAACAGAATGGTGAATGTTCTAGTGATGTTCATTGCAAAAGAAAGGAAAAAAACATTATTTGCCAGTGAATTTAAATGGTTTCCTACATAGCGCTCGAGTTTGGGGTGGAAGAGGGTTGAGCAAGGACAGGAAGTGTTGGTTCCCTTTATGAATACTGTTGGGGAGGTCTGTTGTTTTCTCCTTACCTGGTATACATTTAGACTCCTAAACTCAGGGTGCAAAGGACCAGAATAAACAGCCTAACAATTGACACCAAGCCTCTGTCACACACAGTTTTGTGCAAAGTTGAATTACCCTTCTTGTAAATACTTAGCATTCAGAGCAGCTTTCTGTGTTTGAAGATCCATTTTGTCAGCCTGAAACTGGGACATGAACCTTCTCCTAACCTGCAGGTGTCCATCCTCATCCCCCCACCCCCTCCCATCCATTGCCCCCCTCACTCCCCATATTAACACTACGTCTTTGGCTCTCTCAGCATGAATTATTCCCATTACTTGCTTTTCAACACCCTGATCAGAGAGCAGATGAGACAGTTATTCCTGTTGTTGCTGATTTACTATTACAGCTGCTTCCTCTTCTTGTGATTTAATTTGAAGTTTCAGCCCACCAGGGGGCTAATGGTCCCCACCTATGCAGCTTTAAAAACTCACTGTTGTTTTCCACAGGAATGTTATTTTCATTCCTAGCCAGTGATTTATTTTTTTTTCCTACACATTCATCTGGTAACTGTGAGGCAGTATTCCACCAGCCACTTTCATGAAGAAAAAAACAACATAAAACCCCAAAACCTAAAACCCGTACAACCATTTAGCTTGCAAGCTTAAAAATGAGAATTGCTCTGTTTGAGTAGAAACTCAGCAAGTAAATTCCCCTGTTTTACAGTCTTCTAAGGGATATGGGAGACTTATATGAAAACCAAACAAACATGGCATTAGTCATCATTTAGATCCTTTATATTTCTCTTACTTTAAAAGTGAAACTCATATATAATTTACTTTTTTCTGTATCTCAGAAAAGTATAGGACAGGCGACAAACCTTATAGTATGTATGTTTCATTAGTGTGGTACTACTGCCTGTGGTGCGATGAATTCTGAAAACATTAGCAACTTGCAGTGAACCTTGAAAAGTTACTAGTTTCTTGGTTTACCTTTATTTTTAAAGTATTCTTAGTTCTAATAGATAAAGGACCTTGGAAACCTTTCTGAACAAACATAATTAATTTTGCTCAGCACTTGTGGCTGTCTTTGTTGTTATACTGTGAGGTTAAGAGTGGTAGTTTTGAGTTTACATTTTGGTAAAACCTCTGCTTTTCTAGTTTATTCATTTTCATGTGGTTAAACACTATGTACATGTTTACATTTTCCTCATCTGAAGTATATATTTGTAATATAAACATTTGTATTTTGTGATACCATTCTCTGCTGGTGTAAGGAGTACCTTGATGAATTATGTGCATTTTAGTGTTAAGATGTTCATGGTTCATAATTGGTATTAGAAATTAATGTCTGAGTTAATGGTATCTCATCTCACTGGGAATCCCAGGTATCTTCCTCCTGGCCACCCTGGTTTTGATGGCTTATTTCTTGCTTTGGACTGGGGAGAAGGGGGAGATAGATTGCATTGAAGAAAGGATGGAAGCTGAGCAGACTGATACAAGTAGCTGCATAACCTCATTGCTTTCAACTGTTATTAAAAGGTGGTGCAATCTTTCTTCTTTTTGAGCAGGAGGATATGATTACCAAATATCAGTGTTCAGGTTCACTACCTTTACAATACAAATCAAATATACTACTTCCTCAGGCCCTGATTGATGGAAAATGAAGTATTAACTGCCAGGAAACGGGTTTTCCAGCCCTGTCACTCAGTCACACAGTGGCAACTAACCTTTTCAATGCAACCTTAATATTGCATTCCTAATTGTATCAGTTAAGAATACAAGATTTTAATAGTTATTCTGGGGGAATGTCAGTCACTGCACTTTAGAGCTATTTTTGCTTATTGGAGGCTTAGCAGTTAATAACTTAACTAGTAGTAACAACCATTAATGCAAACTCTTTGCCTGGGTAATGTCGCTTGTGGTGTTTAATGAATTAGGCTCAAAAAATTGAGCAGAGTACTAGACTTGACTGACTAGCTGAGGAGGCAGCACAGAATTAGTCATTGGCTGTGAATGTTAATCACTCCACAGCAATGATAATTTACAGCATTGTTGTAGCACTCTTGTGCTCATAAAATGAACTTAATAACCCACTGCTACCCATGGGATAAGCCTTCGTTCTCCTTCCCTCCCCCTAGCAATTGAATACCGAGTCTGGCTGCATAATAGCCTTGTGAAATACTGCATTAAAAAGAGTGATAAAAAGAGTATGATAAAATAAACAGCTCTAAAACAGATTTGTTAATTATCTCTTCCTTTTATTCACAGAGGGTGTTTGTGAGATATGGCTGACCAGTGAAGACACAGGGGCTTATGGCAGAGACATTGGCACAGACCTCCCTACGCTTCTCTGGAAGCTGGTTGAAGCTATTCCTGAGGGAGCTATGCTGAGGCTTGGCATGACAAACCCTCCCTATATTTTAGAGCATCTGGAGGTAAGGAAGAAAAGAGACTAATTTATATGCTGACATAGACATTCACCAAGTGAGTCGGTGTGGAACCTTGTGTATAGCATGGACTTCAAGTAAATTTATAGAATTACACTCATAGTGTTAAGCTGGTCATCTAGCACAGCAGGTTATCAAGATGATTAGATACTAAAATAATTTTGGAATTATAATATTACTGAGGTTTCTCACATATGGAGCTTCAGTATAGCAATGTTGTATTTGTGTGTATGTCTATTGTTTTCAAGAACTAAACAAAATGTCATTAGCAAGCAAGGGACTATGGGATTGAAATTGTCTTCCTTCTACACCTGAGATTAATATTTTCAAAAACTCTATATGCTGGTCTCACGTAACAATGTATTTAGTATCTCATGTCAAATGCTGTTCTGAGAGTGTGTAGAAGTTTCCATGATAAGAAATGGAAAGTGTAAGTGTATATCTGTGTAACAAAGTAGTTCGACCACATTAGAAGGAACAAAGTGTGCAACAATGTGAACTTCAAAGAATATCATATGTGTGCAAATCAGGAAGTGAGAGTTTGTCTCAAAGATTGGTTGGTTTCATTTGATTCTGTCATCAAATGAATTTATTGAAATTCATGGGAACTATGAGGAGGGGAAGGATATAGTGTAAGGTAAATCTTGTAACCATGTACATCAGCAATATCCAGATAAATAGCTGCTGTCCATGCTGCTTTCCTGAATATATTATAGGTTAATAGTTGCACTTACTTTTTCTTAAGGTGTCAAGGACAGTATTTTCTTATCGGAGTGCCATAACTGCACCTTTTCCTATGAAAGCACATTGGCTAGAAGAATTTCTTCTGAATAGGAATAAGCAGTTTTTCACTTCACTAGCTAAAAAAACACAAGCTGCAGAAAACTGCAAGGAATTTCCCAGGCTATTAATTTATTCTTTGTTTTAACATACAATTCACTAAGAGTCTTAACAACACACTGAATAGAAATCTTTAGGAGGTGGTTTGGTTATGTTTCTTAGAGCTTAGCATTCTGACTCAAACTCTTTATCAGTCACAAGTTTTTATTTTAACTTTTTTCAGCATCTTGTACAAAAGCAAATCAAAATTGTAGCATTTGTCACAATTAGTGTCTTTGCTTTCATTTTTAACCCACATTGTTAAAAGTGTTTTTGCATAGGCTGCCACTTTTATTACTGCTGCTCATCTTATGAGTGCTCACAGAGTCGTGTTTTGGTTTTGTTTGAAAATCAGTTGCTGGAGATAAGAAACTGCCCACCTAAGGGGCACTGTAGTTGTCTTTATTTTATATAATTTGGGCAAGGTGGAAAGTATATTGCTTTCTTTCATACAGTGCATGTGAGCACATCACAAATCTAGAATGGTTTTGAATTATTATCTTTAATCTTCCTGCTTCTAAATTTTCTAGAAAGTGCTGCAGGTCTTTGACCTGACTCAGATTCAAGAAAAGTATTCTAATATCTTTTAAAAATGCATCTTTAAGAGTGATGGCAGGGTGAGAAACTTCACTGAAAGTCTATTGAAAATGTGTATCTTGAATGTTACTGTGCAGAACGTGTTTTATGTTCACACCAGCCTTTTGTGTAATATCTGTTGTTGCTTGTGGAGTATTGTGCACTGTTTCATTTTATATGATGGTTTTTAAGGATTATTTTATCACATTTGTTTCATGTGTGACCAAGAATTTCTGAGCTTGTAATTTGATGAAATAATTTTGATGTTTTGTTATACAAAAATTGCAAATTTTCTTTTTTTAACCTGCCGTGGTTTTTTTTCTAGTCCCCTCATCCAAGCTTACCAGAGCTGTATCTGAAATATCACTAGGATATGTTGGCAGTCTCCTGTATGCATTTTTACCAGACAAAATAAACTTTTTGTGGGGAATGTGCTTTTAACTTTCCAGTTGACAAAAGGGTGAAGCTATGATTTGTTTGAAAAACAAAATAAATTAAATGAGAAGTTGATTAATTTTCATGTCAGTTGATTAGGATAAAATCCAGATGTAGTTCTGTTATCTCCTAAGTAAGGTATGAAACTGTTATTGGTTGAAAACATCTTTAATTTTTTTAAAATATGCTGCATTTTATTAATCTATTTTTTTATAAGGCATGGGGTGATTTGCATGGGAAAATGTATTAATTGTGTGTCACTTTTTATATCCAATGAAAAGGAAAACTTGTTCCAATCATGTATCTTTTTTAAAAATCAGAATAATTCAGCAATTACATACAAGTATACATATGCAGTTGCTAAGCAAAGGTTTATTTCACTTTAGTAATGAACACATGCTTAAGAAGTCGCATAGAACAACAACAGTCATGTAAAAGCATAAATTAATTTTAAGATCTAGACAGAGCTTCCCTAGAGACTCAGTCTAAAAGCAATGTTTTTCATTCATTCACAGTTTTTGCTATAGTTACTGGACCTTACCTGCAGGTAAAAGGTTTGGCCAGTTTTATGTCTGTCTTATCCTTGTAACCTCCAGAGCTAATAATACAGTTTATAAAAATGCTTTAGTTTTCTCCTATAAAATTCAGTTGTAAGTTTAATGTTTTTAAAATACCAGTTCCCAAAGACATTATATACATTTTTAAAATACAGTCATGTAGTATTGCTTGAGCTTCTCTGTCGTTAGAACTGGTCTTAAATGTAACTTTTAGAATATTTAGCAAATACCTGTTTTCTTTCAAATAGGCAGTTATTTAATCTCTAAGCATTCAAACCATCAGGTCACTGGCTTGTTTATGTGCTTGGAATTTGCAGGTTTTTTACTATTTGCTGGAGTTTCTGTTACTTTTCAATTGTCAGAATGAGAGGAGATTGAAAACAAAAAAGAATAGGGATATGCAGATTAATACCTTGAGTTGTAGATGGCACAGCTGCAGTAGAAGCAAAGAATTCCTCAGACCACAATGACAATACTCATGTCCTCAATGAATGAGGAAAAGGTTGCACCTATGAATAATATAACTGAATAAAGGACTAAAAATTTTAAAATTTATTACTTTATATACAATGGAAACCTAAGCTGCACATACTGTTCTAGAAGCAGGTGGAGTTATTCTCAGAAGTGTTGGGTTTGGCCCAGTTTCCTCACACTGTAGTCCTTTGAAATATGCCCAGCTTATGTTGTTGGTGTTGCTCAGGTGGATCTTTAAGATGTAGCTAGACATGAGATACTTCAGTAACACATTAATTACTGTGTCGATGGTTCTCAGGAAAATAGATTGTATCCACTGGCTAAAATTGTTATTATTGTTATATTGTTATACATTGTTATATTGCATGTGCTTTTTCTGTATAGGTGGAATAACTTTCTCCTTCATACAAAGATGCTTAGCCCACTTTTGGATAAGCTGCTTGATTAATTGCTTTTAGATTGAAATTTATTTGCAAGTGCAAACATATTTATAGATTCTTCCTTTTTCTTCCAAAAAATACTTCCTAAATATACGCTGAGATACTGTTCAGAAAGCGTACAGTGGATTAGGAACAGAGATCTGCTTAAGCTGTCACCAGTGTTTCTTTGTACTGTGTGCTCAGGTCTGTGGCTGGGCTTTGGCACTCTGGGTCTTTTGACTCATTAATGTAGTGCCCACACTGACAGGTTCCCTGGAAATAAAAATGGAGGCACAGTAAATGCCACTCATCTCAAGAATGTTATGTCTGCCGCTGTGTCAGGAAATCAATCTCCGTATCCTCTGAGAAGTGCCAGCCAACAGGTCTGCTGTTTGGCTGAAGCTGGAGGCCAGCACAAGGGTAGGAGGAGGTGGAGGAGGGCTTCCCCTGGGTCAGGAGTGGTGGGGCTAGAGCTGGGGAGGGTGCAAAGGAAAGCTATGGGTGCTTCTGACTGGCCTGAGGCTCTCATGCTGGAAGGCTTGGTAGATTTGGGGGCAGGGGCTAGTGGTCGTTTAAACTCAGAATAAGTAGACAGTCAGTTTAAGTTTTCACAATTTATAATACTGAGCATACCCAGTGCCCTCAGGTATTAGTCAGGTAAATGCCATTTTGTCCTTAAAGATGGCTCTAATTTCAGGGGTAGCTGTTACTCTCATGAAAATCATCATACCTGTGTGGTACAGTGTCACAGTTTAGAACTTTCAGGTTTTGATTCAATAAATATGGTGGCAATAGTGCTTTATGTACTTAGAGGTGCATGTAGCATGAACAGTTTTGGGATGAGAAGCAACTATATGTTTTTGAACTATTATTTGTACATTCAGTTGGGCTTTCTCATTTGTAAAGAATTATTTAGAACCATTCAGTGTTTTAGAATCATACAAAATGTTCAACTCTTTTTGATAGGTGCATTAGAAAGTCATTAGAAAGTCATTAGAAAAAGGGGGTTTTGTCATTATTCAGGTTATAATCTAAAATACAATTATTTTTATTATCTGCTGTTTTCTTCAGCTGCAGGTGATGTTTGCACTTAAATTAGTAAGTAGTAAGGAGCAATAAGAGCAGATCAGGAAATCACAGAATTTGGTAGTGAAGCCACTATATCTACACTATGTCCATTTTTGAGTCTTTACTTCAAAATAAATCTAATCCCCTTAACCAAACTTTACAATTACCCATGGTCCAAAGCTGTTCCAAAGGCAGATCATTGGTTTGAATCCTTCTGTTCCCACTAAACTCTTGGAGCCCATTCAATGTAAACCTGGAGCGTGGCCACCGCACTGACTTCCTTGGAAGGGAATTTAGTTTTCCTGCCCTGAAGTCATACTGCAGATTGAACAAACCCATGGCTGGGAGGGAAATGTGGGAAATTGCCCTTCACAGTTCCACTGCAGTTTTCACTGCATGGGGTTTGTTGGTACAACTGAGAAGGTTATTTGGTGTGTTTAAGAAAATCGGAGGATGTAAGACTTCCCAACATTGTTTCTCTTGACTGTGATATTAAAAATGAGAAAGAAGTTGAAGCTTTCAGTTTAGCAGCAGAAGAGATTGTATATTTTCCTCTCAAAGAAATGTGGCCAGCCAATGG